TKRMCCYTTTTTTYYWTTTTYCTTTTGCTTGTAAAGAACTGATRTCGGTCACTCCAATTTTATCCTATAATTGAATGTGTTAGTGTGTTTATATTCTTAGTGTTTCATTAGTTTTCAAGAGGATTACTGTAGTCCTGTCAAAATAGGTAGTTTTCTCACAGGAATTGGATAAATTATTCATGAGAAAAATTAYAGACCTCAACAATAGGAAATATTTATGAGGCTGCTTAAAGACTAGCTAGTTTCTGGGTTTTTTTCACAAGCTTGGGATATAGCAAAGATTGGTGTGGAATAAATTTTTTCTTACTTTTATTTATTTTTTGCTGTTTGTTTCCTGTGCAGCACTAAAGCTGGGCCCAGAAGCTTTCAAATTTGATGGTGGCGTGGAGGCGGTGGCAGTACGGCAAAATGAGAAATATTACATCCTGAGACCAGAGGTGATTGAGACCTACTGGTACATGTGGAGATTCACCCACGACCCCAAATACAGGCAGTGGGGCTGGGAGGCAACACAGGTAATGGGATCAATCATCTGGCAGTGATTTAATTTTGTGCATTTTCCTTTTGAAGRTGATTTTCTCACAGTTCTGGAATACTCCAAGTGGGTGATTTTTCCCAGGGAACCCTCACATGCACCCACAATTTTTGCTGTTCTGTATTTGCTGAGTCAAATGCTCCATGGAGAGATGAATTCACCATTATACAGCTCATTTTCAGGCATGGAAATAAAACCCACTTGTCATGATTTCTGCCATTATCAGTTGTTCACAGCCCCAGGAGCTCCCCCATTTCCCTGCCATCACTCCAGCAAACATCTCAGAACCATTTAATAAGCATTAAAAATAACAAGACAGTAAGGAAATATTTTGGCTACAGCCAAAGGAAGAGCAAAGGAAGAGACAAACCAGGAGCTTGGATAAGTTTGTTCTGTGGTTGAAACCCAGAGGGAAGAGAAAAAGTGCTTGGAGGAAGAGATCTGTTGTGATGTGCATTCATCAGGTKGGAGATAGTCAAGACAGGTTCAGAAAATTGAGCCAAGCTCATTTATTATCCCTCCCTCAGCCCAGTTKCAGCCACATAGAAGAGGCCAAGTATTTTACAGTTGTGTCTTAGTGTGGTTTTAACTTTTGATCTGTTTTGTTCCAACCAAAATTATGTTATTCTGGAGAAAAGTTCCACATTTGTAACATTTGTATTCCAGAATGCATTGCTGCTGTCTCTGAAACATCCAACACTGAGTCTCATCATCCCTCCTGTCCAAACTATGCAGTTATATGCAAAATTAATAATAATAATAATAATAATAATAATAATAATAATAATAATAATATGACAGTTAATAATTTACTCCTTGCCTGTGGAGATATACAAATGCTTGCTGATCTAACACCAGCTCCTTTCAGAAGCTGTGGCAGGATGATCCAAGCTGAGATTGGGTCCTTTGTACAAGAATTTAAAGAATTTAAAAATGTAAAAGTTTTCAGGCCAGGATCAGTCTCTTAAGCACACTGCARAGGATGTGTTTTGATTGCATTTTGTTCCATTTTCTCCATTTGCTTTCATTATCTTAGTCCCCATTAATGCTTTCAAAACAAACCCTCCTTTCCTCCTCCTCTRCCTCCAATTTTCTCTGTGTGTGGGGTAGGATTTTATTTTATCCTTCTGTCAACTGCATCAAAGTTTTGTAAATCAAGCAGCCCATGTGCTTAATTGCCTCARTCCTTACAGACTGCCTTCTTCTGCTTGTTTCCTTGATAAAAAATTTCTTTATTGAACACAGCCTTAAAATATTTTTTTCTTCATAAAGGGTTTTGCAAATCCCTCCTTCCCACAATTACAGATTTTCTTACTTCACCATCATACTGGCACAGAAGAGGAAATCTTTTTGTTCCCCAGGCTTTTCTGTTCTTTGCATATAGATAATAAGTTCTTGTGTTTATTCCTCACACCTACTCACTACTTTTCCTTCTCYCCTACCACACACATCTCTGGCTGTGTTTATTCCACCATTTATAAATAGAGATAAATCTGCTGTGACACACAGAGCAGTTGGCTCACTGCTATTTTACAACACTGTCTGAATTTGTCTTTTGCCTTCCTTCCTCTGAAGTATACTTGGATTTATTATCTATATTTTTGACAAAACTCAGTCACTTCAGAGCAGATGCTGAGCTTTGTCCAAGGCCTATTTTGTTATTTCTCCAAATGCAGTATCTGTGAAAGTTCAATCTTATAGTCCTTCAGTGATCATAAATCCCTGTCTGAGGGTCTCTGTCTCTTTCCTAATAAAAAAAAAAGGAATTTTTAATTAAAAAATAAATAATTTTTAATAAAAAAGAATAAATAATTCTCTCTAATACTTAGCACTAGAGACAGCATTCATCTCARTTGTATTGGGCCAGTCAAATTGGATGATGGGCTGGCTGAAGAATTACAGAAATATGCGTGCAAGATATTCAGAATAAATAAGAAAATCCTTTCCAAATTAATTATTTGAAAGCAAAAAGAGCCCCCACTTCACAATAAGCATGTAAAGCCATTTACTAATCTGAGCTGTGTAAATGAAGGGTTTTCAACTATTTGTTGTGGACTAAGTAGGATTGCACCACAGAGGCTTCTGAGCTTCTCAGAGCTTCTACTGGCAAAAAATAAAACTAGTAAAACTAGTGAAAATAAAAATAAAACTTCTACTAGTGAAAATAAAATAATAGACAAGACCTGAAGCTTGGACTGACTTGAGGCAAATTGAGGATTGATAGTAAGAGTGGAAAAACCTCATCCAGGTGTGGAGTCCTGAGCACAAGAAATTCATGGATGTGTTAGAGCAGGTTCCACGAAGGGACACAAATATGATCCCCAGGAAGGGACACAAATATGATCCCCAGGAAGGGACACAAATATGATTATTATTGGATTATTATTTCCAAGGCTGGGAGCACCTTTACAAAGGTGCTGAGAGAGCTGGGATTGTTCACCCTGGGGAAATAAAAGCTCTGAGGAGACCACATTGCACCCTTGTAGTGCCTAAAGAGGATTTATTCAAAGAAGTGAGATGGTGTTTTTATATGGGCAGGTAGTGAMAGGGCAGGAGGCAATGGTTTTAAACTGAAAGATGACAGATTTATATTAGATTTTAGGAAGAAATTGCTTACTGAGAGGRTGGTGAGATACTGGAACAGATGGAAGTGGTCAAGGCCAGGTTGGATGGAGCCCTGAGCACCCTTTCTAGTGAGGAGCATCCAGTGAGGTTGGAATTAGATGATCTTTAAGGTCCTTTCCAACCCAAGCCATTCTGAAATTCTGCTCAGTCTTTCCTGTCTTAGACAGAAAAGAGCCAGACATAGGCTGCAGGTTTTCAGGTTTTCCAGTTTCATGGGTTAGAAGCTGTGACAGCTGGTGAAGAAAATGGCACGATTTTCATGGGTTTGTTGTTGGCACAGTCAAGAAAAGTCACATATGCCACAAAAAACACCCTCAGAAAAACTGAGGGGTCCAATCTAGAGCCACCTCACATTTTATTTCCAAGGAATGTAGGTCCACTTTGACCTCTCTGTGTGTTACAGGCACTGAAATTTCATTTTGTGTCATTTTTGAGTTGAGGCACATGTGTTTGGCAGGAGTATACTGTTGCATATTGTCCTGTTCTATATTTGAATAAAGGAAACTAGAAAATTCACTGCTTCTGGTAGTTTGTTCCATTACTTATTTACTCTTGCTGTTAAAAAAAACATGTTTTATTTCCCATTTGAATTTGCCTAGTTTCAGCTCTCAATCACAGGATTTTCCTATGACTTCTATTCCATTTTGAAATATCTTCTCCYCCATGTTTTCTTCCCAAAGAATTTTCATAGATTGTAATAAGCTTACTACGGACTCCACTGAAGATGCTAAAGAAATTGTATTGTCTCTCACTGTGAAACATTTTCTCCATATGCCTGCACCTACATTCTGTAAAAATGAGTTTTAGAATTGCATACTCCTGTTTTGACTTTAAAAAAAAAAAAAAAAAAAAAAGGAAAGAACTCAGCTTTTGCAAAATAAAACTATGTCCCTCCTGCAATATCCTAGCAGGATCTCAGACTAAATTGTCTCATAGGGTGGGAATCTTTGAAGTGTTTACCTTCTCAGCAGTTCTATAGTCTTCATGACTAGATTTAGGATTATGTGCTTGTTTTCATGAAACTCATTTTGTTTTGCACCCAGTTACCAGCAGCTTATGCTGTCTGCTGTTATTTATGTGTGTCATTTTAGCCAGCAGCAGAGTTGCAGTGATTGATAAAACTTCAGAGTGCTCCTTGTGGTCTCTGGGAGATGAAGCTCTATTTCATGATGATTTTGCATTGCCAGTTCTTTCTTAGACCATCATCAGTCAGTTTGCAATTGAATTATATTGATAAGGGATAGTGTTGTCTTGTCTTCCCATAACATTTCAATTGCCATAGAAGCTTTTAAGTTTGTTACAGCTCTGCAGTTACTTTTATTTGTTAAATTTGTAGCTCTCAAAGAATGAAACCAAGCTTGTGACCAAGATAGTTCTCCATAAAACCATGCTGATTGGTGTCAATTATCCCCTCTTTGTTCTATATATTCCCACGTGTTTCCAGAATTGATTGGAGCTAACAGCAGCTATGCCATCCTAAAATTACTCAGTCTGCCAATGCCTCCTAATGGGAGCATTACCTTAATACCCTTCCAGTCATCTTGGAGCTTCCCTGTATTTGGGGTGACAAATTTTGCATCCTTTTATCAGGGAGAATGTTCAGCTCTGGAGTGAAAGTGCATCCACGTGGCAAATCTGCACTACAAACACTCTGAGATCTATGTGAAGACAGAACACTGAAAATCTAAACTTCTTTTAAGCAGCTTGTCATGACACCTGGCTTTTTAGCCAGTGTTCTGTATCAAGGGCAAATTATTTGTTCCTCTTTTAAAATTTTCTCTTTGGATGAATAGCTGTAAAGCAATCTTTCTGAGGCTTTTTTTCCTGTATAGTTCATCTAGAACTCTGATCAGCTGAGGTAAATCCTTTTCCTATTCTCAGTGYAAGTCTAGCCAGGCTGTCTTTGCAAGGAGAAATGGCTGAAGATACAAGGAAAAAAAAGTTAATGTAGATCATACATTTTCTTTCTCCAGGCTTGTAAATCTGTGGCTTCAGCACAGGGCAGGATCTCATTATCTATCCATTATCTGCAGTTTTCAAAAGAAGCAACTTTTGTTTCTTACACTGTYCTGGGATTTAATTCTTCTGCAGGAAGGAGATGATATCCTAACAGTGGACTGTTTATTCCTTGTTTTTATTTTGCCCCAATCACTAGCAGGTTTCTCCTGTCCCACACAGCATCATCTGTGTGCTGCAAATTCTGCCAGGAGTTGGCCATTGGGGCTTCCTCCCTCATTTTTTCAGAACAGACTCAAGGTAATGTTCTACAGTATTATAAAAAGGGGATAATGGCAAGAGGAGCCACTTTATTTYCTGCCTGCAAAGCAAAAGTGCTTTGGTTTTTGTTTATTTATATAACATCTGCCTGGTGGCTGTAGGGGAGGAACATGCAAATGCATTATTTCTTCAGAAGTTGGCTAAGCAATTGATTTCTTTTATTTCATTTGTTTTTGATTGTTTGTTTTAGTTTGATTTTTTGG